TCATCATCATCATCATCATCATCATCATCATCATCATCATCATCATCATCATCATCATCATCATCATCATCATCATCATCATCATCATCATTATTATTATTATTATTATTATTATTATTATTATTATTATTCAAAGGGGGAAAACCTGTCCTAATCTTAACAGCCACATCAAAGTCTTTATCATATTTATTTATGATGAAGATGATTTAAAGAGCAAAAAGGTTAAACTTACTATGAAAAAGCTTCATTTGGTGAATTATAGGAAGTTTCTTACTGATGTAAGAGTATACAGGACAGGGACCACTCGTACTGTAAGAGGTAAGTTACAGTGGTGTAATAACAGCTGGAATGCAGTACATAAAACCCCAGATTATTTGTTGTGAGAGCCTTTCGAAGGGCATTTTGGAGAAACATACCCATGTCCTGTTAAATATGACACAACCCTAACAGCTTGTTTCCTGCTACTGATCCCTCTCTTTCTTTATTGGCCTTTTTGTCATTCTTCCTATCATGCCATTAACCTATCAGACCCGTTGGTGAACCCAATTCTTATTGGCACTTGAACTGGTTTGAACTGTGGTGCTGGAATGATATTGGCTCACCAGTGGGCCCTATCCAGGAATGTACTAACACGTCTACTTCATCTACTGTAAGGTTGACGGGTCACTGACTGTGGAAGATTGCCAGGATGGGAAATTGATTTGGTGGCTTGTCTAAATAACAGCTGCTTGGCAAAGTGTGTGTGTCTGTGTGAGGAGAGAGAGTGTGTGTGTGTGTGTGTGTGTGTGTGTGTGTGTGTTAATTAACTGGACTTTAATCCACTTCTATTAAAGAAAACACTGTGGTTACCCTGTAGAAGGCTTAAGATAAAAAGAAATTTGTTGTAATTTTTTACTTTTAAATGACTTTCCAGTATTTAAGTGATGTCCGGGCTACTGAGGGAAGTCCTATAACCACAAGCATACCTCTCAGTGTGTTTTCTTCATAGATTGTATTTAAAATATGGACATAAGGGATGTCTCAGCCTCAAGCTGACAATTGTGTTACCATCTAAGCTTTATGAAGCCAGATATGACGAGCAGAGGGCAAAGCTGACTGTGGGGCGTAGGCGAGCCCCTATAAAGCATCACAATAGACGACTATTTGGGTGCTCTCCCCATTTTACAGCCTTTACGGCACCACCTGATTGAATGAACACCACTCTGTCTGCTCTTGGATTTTAAACTAAAACCAAAATTTGACACTTTAAAAAAGCAGACCATTAAGCTCAAGTTTGATCCTAAAAACACGTGAGGTGAGAAATAAACCACAAAGTCACCAAAAATAACACGTTTAAACAGATAAAGATGCTTTCACCTCAAAGTCAGGGCAGGCAACATAATGTCGCCAAAATGCATACTTGTTTGGATCAGTGGTTAAACTGTTGGGAAGATCTTTTTTGTTATGACCTGTTTTAAGATACATACTCTGTAAACTAGAATTTACAATTTACTTGCAGTGTGCGTTGTCATCTACACACTGCTTTGTTTAATTCATTTAAAATTTGGACACTAAGACAAATGTAGACAGTGAGAGCCCTTTTTAAAATATCGTGTGTGTGTGTGTGTGTGTGTGTTTGCCTGCTTTCCATGCAATTAACGGGTTAACAAGGTATTTTTTTTCCCTTCCTTGCTGCATTTTCACCCTCTGCTATTTGTCTGTTTTCTTTCCCACCTTCTTTATGGCATGGTGCGTATGCGTGTGTGTGCGTGTGTGCGTGTGTGGGGCCTGTGCATGTCTCCTCCTACCTCCGTGCCTGCCTGCCTGCCTAGGGCGAGGGAATCACTATGCCTACTACGCCTATCGGCACCACGAAGGTAAAACTCTGCCGCACCTGTGTGTCTGTTGGTGGGGTCAACTCATTTGGCCAATAGTGGTCAAACAGCCCTGATACATGTTTTAGATGTGATTTAGGCACTAGTACTGAACAGAGAGGTTAGGAAAAAGTGATTTAAACAATTTATTTACATTTTACATGAGTTATTTAATACTTTCTGTATCGGCATTAAAAACAGTCAATAACAGCTTAAATACATTTTAGGATATAAAGTTTTGATAAGAAATAGGATTTAACATTATATCCAGCCAATCGCAGGGAAAACTGAGACCTTTTTGGAAGCATTTTTGCAGATTGACATTCATTTTATTTGAAGGGTACACGAAACTACTAAATCAATTTATTTCACCAGTTGCTAGAAGCTCACAAATGAACTGATAATAATCGAAGTGACGTTTCTAGTGAGTTACCTCATAACTGACTGAAAGACTGAAGAAGTCAAAACATGGGAATTATACTTCTGTGTTAAATCTACCTGTAAAATAGTCGTAACTGCAAATCTTTCTGAAATCCTGCACCATAATGTTCGATGTTACCTGAAGTCCACCTGCATAGAAATGTAACCACATGTCACTGTCAGTTCAGCCTGCACAGGTAAAACAGAATGCAAGAGGCTGCAACCATCACTGGCATCTATATTTCACAGCAGAAGTCTAAATCGAGCATAATGCCACACTGTGAAAAATGGTGTCTGTAGACTGCAGTTGCAACCGTGTGACCTCATGATCTCGCAGCACTCAAAGATGACCATCAGCTGTGTCTTCAAAGTAGCTTTGATAAAATGGCAAAATGATGGAGTCGGTCTGCTGTCACTGTTACTGAAAATTCAATGGTCATTAGGCAGCTATATACTGTTACTTTCAACCAAAACCTCATAGATGTGAAACATGAATTTAGGAATTATTCACAAATAGTGCCATAGTTGCAGCAGGATGTTGAATTTCACTGTTAAAGGATGGAGGAACCTTGATATTATGTAGGATTATAATATTGGGTCGATGTTAAAGAGCCATGATGCAGAGACGTTGTGTTCATTGTTGTGGACCAACTCTGATTGATTGCAACATGTTGGCAGTCTCTGTGTTAATAAATTAGATGCAAACCTGCTAATAATCAGGTTGCCTTTGCAAGGGGTTCTGTGCGGTCGCAATCACGCATCTGGTTTCTGCAGCGCGTTCATTAAGCTGCCAAAAGGGGAAGGAAATTAAACGCGTTTATCAGCCACCGTGTTTTTGTTTGGTTTTTCATCCTTTTAGTTGCAGACAGTTAGCCGTCATATATCTACTCGTGTCACTGAGCCATTAGAATGCCAAATAAATTAGATCCAAATATTCTAAAAAAACAAACTAATATGCAAGGGTGGCTCCTATTCAACTTAATTCAACAATCACGTAGATGAACATAATGTGTTAGCATCTAATCTCTAATTAATTAATTAATTTCAAATTCAAAATAATGATGATAATGGCATCAGTCACAAAACAATGAATAACTGTTGCAATATGAAAAGTTATAAATGAATAAAATAGAGAGAGAAAGGGGGAAAAAAATGACTGAGGGTCTAAAGAAAGTGAAAGTACGCCCTTGGCTCCTCGTGATTACCGTCCTTAAACCTTTAACTGGCACAGAATTGATGGAAAAAACAAAACCGAGTCGGTATAGCAGAACCTTCTAATCTACGGAGATCTGTTATATTAGCTACCTTTTGACTACAGTATTATTTTTAGAAGATGGTTATCTGTGGGGGTTTTTCTGATACCCTTTCACCCCCCCCCCCCCCAACCCCCCCTCAACCCCCCACAGCAGCCAACATTTTATCCCTTTCCCTTCACTGAACTAATGCCCTGCTTTGCTTTTACTAAACCCCTACTTACTAATATCAATAACTGCACTGCAGCCCCACCAAAACCCCCACACTCTGTGCCACATTAGCAGTGCATAATGCACAGCTCTCCATATGTCACTATGTATTGACTCTGTACTGTAGTAATGCTGAATTGATTGACTGGGATTTCAGTCAATCAGTGTATGTGTGAGTTTGTGTAGTGAACCTGTATGCCGTTTCTTTAAAATGTGATGTGAGTGCAGCCTTACCTGGTTTCTAAATCTGAACGTGTGTGTGTGTGTTCAGACGGCTCAGACTCTCGGGACAAACCCAAGCTGTATCGGCTTCAGCACAGCATCACTGAGGTCGGCTCAGACTGCACAGACGACGGCGCCATCCAGGTAAACACCCCATTAAAATACAAAAAATTCTAATACAGACTGTAGAATACTGCGCTATATAAACTGCACATATTAATGCTAGAATTTTTCTCTTTTTAAAAAAAGTACTACATTGCAATTTTAAATTAAGATTTCTGTCTTTCTAAAGCTTTCAGTATTTGGGAAGAGCTCACATGCTGCCAAGTTTTGATGCCAGTGCATCCGAGCACTGATGCAAACCCTGTGGAGTTCCCTCACACTCAGTGTTCCCTTACACACACACACACACACACACACACGGTGTTGAATTAACTGTGCAAACATCATGACGTTACTGCAGTTTAAAAAGCTGTCTTTAGATATGATTCAAATGAAAAGCAAAGAGGTGTAGCTGGTGGAGTGAGATGCTGACCAGTGGGGGTTTTTGACCATAAGGGCCATTACACTTGAGCAGCTGCAGCTAACTGTTGTTTGAAAGTCGATCAGGTGAAAATCCAGAGACAAGGTCAGCATCAGGCAGCTGATGATCATTCCAAGGTTATTTTATGATACTTTTACTTGGCCGTCCTGGCTCGAGTTAAACTAAACAGCAAGGGTGTTTAAGCTGATAGAGAGGGGAAACGGTGTACAGCTCTAATGGGAGCTTGAAGTCAAGTGAAACTGACTGCAGAAGAGTTATTTATTTATTCATTTTGCCAGAAGCCAGCCCGACTTACAGCTTAAAAGTGGAGTTTTAGCCTGATGCTGCTTATATAGCTGATATACTTGCTGTGTTTGTCTTCAGCTGCTTGGTCCGGGGATTCTGCCCCACCACTGCAACCTCATGCACAGCGAAGGCATGGTGACTGTGACGCCGCACGGCCCTGACGCAGACACGTTTGTAGACGGGCAGCGCATTATCGAGACGACTGTGTTGCGTTCTGGCTCCACCATCCAGTTTGGTTCTGCCCACGTCTTCAAATTCGTGGACCCGATGTTCGACCAGGGAGGGAAGAGAGAACCGGCCATGCCGAGAGGCAGACACAAGTCTGGGTGAGGAATGGGAAAAGGGTTTGTGGGTGTCTGAATGCAAAGTTTTCACCTCAAACTTACGGACATCCATTCTTCTTACTATCCCTCCTTCTTCAACGTCTGTACACACAGTTTCCCGAAGCCTACCAACAGTAAAGGGAAGAATAGGGTGTTATTGTAAATGAAGGGAGGGTGAGGTTTGGAGTTGGCAGGCGGAAGCAGAGATGAAGGGAAGGAAAAGTGGGAGGAGGGAGTCTGGGATGGGGAGAGCAGGGAAATGAGAGGAAGAGCGGAGGTCTGGGGTTACGGCAGGCAGGCTGCCCTCTAATCTGATCAACATGATGTTGGGTGTGGCCTCCTCCTCGCTGGAGTTTCACACACTAACGGGAGAAAGACGGAGGGCATACAAGATAAGAAGAGAAAGGAGAGTGTGAGAAAGTTAGGGATCAGTGAAGGAAAGGAGAACCAACTTAAGTCTTTAATGGACGACTAACACTGCAAGGAAGAGAGAAAGAAGGAAGTCTGTAAGTACCCAAAACACTAACTCACAACTGTGGGTGTGTTTCTGCATGAATTAGTTTCTACAAATGATTCAAGAAATTGTCCTTTATCTTTTGTAGCACTCTTTCATATGCATGTGCTCAGTATTTTCTAAAGCTCACAAGGTCATGAACACATTTAAATTAGTTTTTTAACAATCTAGAGTGTAAAGTTTGCCTCTGCAAGCTTTGCCTTCAGATGAAATAAACCTTAAAATTATTTTGGAGTAAAATGAGCATAACATTTTTGCTTGGCTGAATTTAATCCACCAGCCTGGGAGTGTTTTTTTTTTTTTATGTGTTTAAGAGCTGGTTTGTTAGGTTTGAGCGCTTGCTGAGCAAACACAAAATTATACATCAGTGCAGCGTTTTAAAAGAGAGCTAATCCTGTATTTAGCTGTGGGCTGTGACTGCTTTCACAACATGTTCCTCAGAGGCTTTGACACAGGTTTGCATTCCAGTTAGAAACTCCCATCAGGTGATTTTGATTAGTAACCTCAGCTATAGAGGAAGACCTCAAAATTCATGTTTAATACGAAAATACAGCTCACAGTGCTCCACATGTCAGCAGCAAAATGTGACAATAAAATACTTCAGCTTAAAAAAAAGAAGACTCGGGATGAATGAAGTCCACAGACTGTATATATAAGATCAAAGTAGCCACTTGGTCTTTTATATACAGTCTTAATGTTGGTACTTTTGCTGCTCAAGAGTCATAAATCTCTTGCTCAGCCTGTCCCAAACAGCAATACATTATATTTGTCAGACATTTCGATTAAAAATGCTCTAAAGGGCTCCAGGAGCACAGGCATGGTTCAGATCAGCGCAGGTCAACTACAGCCGTCTATGTCTGCCGATTCAAATTCTGCCCTTAAGTTTAAGACTTGGCAGAGTCTCATTGGATGAGTTTTACCCAGTGTAGAGGTGTTATAAAGGCAGAATTTATCAATAGAAGCCAAAAATCTTCTTTTTGCAGGCTTTAAATACATTTTTAATGTGTGGGTTTTTTTTTTTTGTTTGTTTTAAAGAGTTAAACACTGTGCATTAACATTTGTAATTTCTAGCTATAGGATATAGCATAAATCGCATAGTTCATTCTTACTATTGATGGTTTTAACGATAGGCAGCTGCATTTAGCCGGTTCTGCCTGCCCAGATACAAACATGAGGAAGATGAAATTAGCTTCCGGGTCATGGATACAGTGGATTTTTTGTAAGTTAAAGAGGTCCATATTTCCCCCAGGAGTTACAGAAAATGTGTGAATATTGACCTTAAATTGAGATTAAGCTTTTTTGGTATCACGAATGGCGAAAGGGAAAATTTTCCTCATTGCCCCAAAATGGCAGAAAACCCATTTTTATTTTTCTATATAAGCAAGAAGTGCACCTGTATAATCCGATTTCTCAATGGTTCAAATAATACTTTGGTCATTTTATTAGATTTTTTGTTATTGATCAGCTCCTTTGGGAACTTTTTCAGTTGTCAGCTCAGTTGGAGGCATTGTGAAATGATGTTACGAGAAATGAGAACACCGAGGAGTTATATTAAGACCAGGGATCATTTTGTGCAGCTCAGAAAAGGAGAAGTTGTGGATGTGGATCTCTGTGGTTTTCTGGGCTGCTTTCCAGTGTCCTGCTGCACAAACATACCAGGATACTTGGCCACAGTCAAGCTGAGGACTCATCATAATGTTTAGGCCGATTACTGCAGTAGTTTGGCGAGGATTCTTTTTTTGGTGTGGTTCAGATGATCTTGTAAGGGAATGAGTGTTTGATCCTTTGATAATCTGCTCCCTCTTAACTTCATCTGTATTCACTGTCAGTGAGTGAGAGAAAAACATGAATGAAACCAGCCAGAAGCCTTAAAAGGAACTTTAATCTGTATCATGTTTAATTTGAGATCATTTTAAATAAATCGTTATCAGATCCTTGTGCTGTAATCTCAGTACGCATGACACGGCAGATTCACATTTTAAACACTGTTTTTCTTGTTTTATATCATGATAACAGCCTTTTTTGGTCTGCATGTTTGACTTGTTAGCAGCTGACAGAAGTGTGGCACAGATGCAGGATTACAATAGTACGCTTTCTAAACAGAGAAATGAGGCGAGTTGCAAGAAGACTGTTAGTGAGCGGGCGCAAGGTTAAGCAGCACTGTGGTGTTTGTATTGAATTTTCTGTCAGAGTAGAGACTGCCAGAAAAGGCAGATGCTATTGCTGTGTGCTCATACTGCTATGACGCAGTCTTGGTTCTCTTGAAGGTTTCTTCCTCTTAAAAGAGCGTTTTGTTTTTTCCTTCCCACTGTCACCAACTGCTTGTTTAAAAGGGATCATTTGATTGTTGGGGTTTTTCTGTACTATTGTAGGGTTTTACCTTGCAACATAAAGTGCCTTGAGGCGACTATATAAATAAAATTGAATTGAAAGTGACCATTTAAAATGATGGCGTCTTGGAAGACATGCAAGGATGGCAGGGTGAGATGGTGGGCCCAGCTGAGTTATCAAATAATAGCAGCCTTATTGGTTAGAAAGCTGCATCCACAGCCGGTATAAAGATGGACAAAGATTGAAAAATTACACCTTCATTCTTTTTAATGGCCAACAGGACTCAACTCCTCTGATTGCAGAGGGTTTCTGGTCGTATAGAAGTCTAAGTTGACTCTCACCTTCCTATCTCCAAGAACTCTGTAAACATTTTTTCATTACTTTAATGCATGAGGCCTTATTTTTGTCAAACACTGAGTGCATTTTGTAAGTTATAGTCATCCTGAGGCTTTTCCAGGGTTATCCAGGATATGTGTGTGGTTTCACAGTCAGATCCACATCTCGTTCACCGCATCTGGTTTCAAAAAACTGATAGTGAAAACACTCATTTTGAGGCTTCATAAAACTAACAAACAGGTGGCATCAAAGTGGCTCTCTCCAGCTATTGTACAGTACAGCTAAAACACACAGGTGCTAATTAACAGACCAGAACTGAAGCACAAGCTTATTAAATGGTCTGCACTTTAAAACGGAGTTTGTGAAAGGGAAAGCCTATCTGTGGAGGCTAAAACATGCTTTTTAATGCAGTGACGTGGGAGCCTGTGGGGTTCGACTCACATTTGAAGCCAGTCCCAGGTGGCTGTTAGAGGAATTGCAGTCTTTGGCACATCTACATGGTATTTATTTTCCAGCTGCGGAGGTTGTGGCTTTGAGCCTGATTCACATGACTGTCTGGTTTCTGAGATCACATGACACCTGTCATTGATTCCCACGCTGGGATTTGGGACCATCTTGTTAAAGATGTTAGAATCTGTTTTCAAAAGCTGAAAACGGCAGCATCAGAAAGATTTTAATATTTTATCTGTTTTTACTGGAGTTATGAGTTTGTAATGTATTTCATTTGATTAGAAATTTAGTTTAAGAAAGAAAAAAACAATCAGTCTACTTTCTCTGTCTATGTTGATGCTGGTAATGGTTTAACCTTGTTTGGCTGCTTTTGTTTATTGTGCGCGTGATGGAGATCTCCGTGTCAATGACATGAAGCACTGATGCTTTGTGTTTGTGCTGTGCTCTTTATTCGACATTGATGCCTTGCTGTCACGCGGGCTGTGAAAGCAGAAGCCTGTCTTTTTAAACCCGACTGCTGACACACACACACACACACACACACACACACACACACACACACACACACACACACACACACACACACACACACGACATCCTGGCGTTGCTGTGAGTTAGGACTCGTGGCGTGGCTTCTCTATAACTAATTAGACTGTTATGTAAGAGTGTGCATGCATAAAGCGAGCTATCTGTGTGCAAATATCAGCGAGTATTTTACTGCCTCTCACGCCCATCGCTCTCCTCTGTGACGGTGAGTTAGATAAGCGAGCGTGTGTGTGTCTGGGTTTAAGTCTGCGCTCTTGTCGACGTCAGTAATGAAAAGTCAGCTGTGGAGAGCGCAGTTCGTCATCTGAACCTCTGAATGTCTGTGTCTCCCCGCTGAAGCAGCGTACCAGAAACCACCTTCGACCTTCACGGAGACGTCCACAGTGGAGGAGCCCTGCCTACCAGCAAGGTAACACACACATGCACACAGACAGAAAAAGAAACACCCACTCATTTTCGTGTATATACTTTATTCCATTCAAAATTCTCTCTGCTCTGCTTTCTGCTCTCAAACACTTAAACACTATGCTGTTAATATTTTTATGTTTTATCTGTCTGAACTTTTATTAAGCAGACTGGCTGAAAGTCGGGCATCATCATATTTTTGTTTACTGCACTGCTTCTGTGGTGGATTCTCCTTTTAAAGTTGGTATCAAATAATGACGTTAGTTTATGTTCAAGTCATCGCTGTTCAGGCTGCTCTAAACATGCCAATTTTGACAGTTTCTTTCCCCCTGCTCTGTATGATGCCTTATCTCAACTATTGTCAACACAGGTGCACAGCTGTCACAGCGAGCACAGAAGCTCCACCCACCTACTATTTAAGCCTTATTTTTGCGAGGGGGAACAAAACTACTACAGTAACTAGTCGTGGTAGAAGAATTCACAGATTAAAAAATATGGAGCCAATCTTATTATGATAATTATGCACACCGGTGGTATTTATCAGTATCTTTCAAATTTCTTTGCAGTTAAATGTCATTTATAGAGTGACAAATCATGACACATCTTAAGGTGTTTTATTTTCAAAGGTAAAGACTATGCACATATTATGAATATTATAAAAACACAATGATTCCACAATCGTCCGTGAGAGAGCTGCTGATGACAAAAAGGAGAAAAATGACTCTCATGGGTTTTCCAAAAATAATTAAGTCTTTTGTTGATTATCGGTGTTGATTTGCAGATCTTCTTGAGTGCATTTCATCTAACATTTAACTCCAAAGAAGTTTAATTCAGATTATTTAAAAATCTGATTAAAGCCACAGATTAATTTTGTCATTTGATTATTGGTTTGACTAACTGCAAAAGCTCTGGAGACGCAGTAAAACCTTTTTTAAATGTCAAACTCAATACAAAGAAACAAAAACTTGATGAAAAGTGGAAAACGGGTTGTCATGTTGCTTTTGCTGTAGTAGTTCTGCCAATAAATCTGACTCAAGTCACCATTGTCGGCGTTCCCAGACAAAACTCCATGGCACCATAACTTTGATTTGTTTCCCCACGCTGCATTTAAGCCTCGTAGGACTGTAGCCAGTATCTTTAAAATATAATAAGGGACAAATTTCCGTATGTTAAGTTGAATTGAAGCTTCTTTTTTTTCTCTGTGTGTTTTCAGAGCTCAGGAAAGCTGGACATGGAGAGAGGAATGGTCAAACCCATGATCAGAGGAGAGCAGCAGGACAGCAGGTCAGACATGGTTTCCTCCAATACCCTGGATTCTCTTGATCCTCATGCTTATCCTTTTTCTCTCCTCTGTATGGATCTCCTCTCCTCATGGTTTGAATCTGTCTCATCAGGTCTCAGGATATTTCAGCAGACAGAACAGAGCTGACTCTTCCAGCCAGCATCGAGTTCAGAGACAACTGTGAGTGTTCACGCATCACTTTCTGCCTCTTCATTCACCTCACTGTGTCAGTGACACAGTCAATAGCTGGAAACTATTGAACCCTTTCAGTTCCCGTCGTAACGTCCTGGACCGACAAACCTGACCTGATTGCGCTGGAAGTAGTGCTGCTCAATAACGGTGTCGTGGTTAATGCAGGCAGTTCAGAGGCTTTTCACGTTTTCTCTCACCTCGCCGACCTGCAGCGATGAAAGGCTGAAAGCCATTATAATCATTAAAATCCTATTTGACGTTGTGGCACAAAGTCAAGCACGTTCAGTGGCTTTTGCTCCTCGTTTCTGAGCCTGCTTGTGATATTCTTGAACAAGATCTGCGGGTGCAGCCGGGGTGAAGGGGACTCTCCATCACTGCTTTTTGAAGCCAGTGTGGTTTTATTTGATTTATCAGAGTGTGATCTTCAGCACTGGAGGTCGACACCTCCAAATGTGAGACTGTGAAGTGCCCTCTCTGGGTTGAAAGGCAGATATCTCAGGATGTTTTTCTCGAGACATGGCGCGGAAAGGTAGATTTATGGGTCTATCGACCTCAGCCTTCACCTTCACTTATCAGCAGTAATACGGGCATTGTATCAGACTGTTGTAAAAGAGACGTCCACGTATGTTCTAGCTGTCATATTTGCTCATGAGAACAAGTTAATGAACAATAGTGCAAAGTCAAAAATACAAGCAGTCACAATGAGTTTCCTCTGCAGGGTGACTGAGCTCAGCCTTCGAGCAAGGTTGCAGAGCTTGTACATTTGGAAGGATCTTAGAGTGGAGCTTCTGCTCAGTCGTGTTGAAAGCTGCCAGCTGAGGCTGTTCCATCGTCTTGTAACAATGCCGCTGGAGGTTTTGGGGGCATGTTTATCTGGGAGGAGACCCTTGGGAACTACAATCAATTTATAATCACCACTTAACCCTTACCCCATGCATGTTTTTGAACTGTTGGTGGAAGCTGGAGTTCCCAGACAGAACCCATGCAGACACAGGGAGAACATGCAGGCTCCATACAGAACGGAAAAGACTGGATTCAAACCCAGGAACTTATTCCTGTGGAACTTTTTCTGTGAAGCTGGCAGGTTGAAGACCATTTCATGACTGGCCTCAAAGGGTTTTTATTGTTCTCTCGTGCACCTTGAACGGTGGAGAAGTTTGGTGCTGTGGTGCATGTATGAAAACTGCTACATCGGGGTGTTTCTGCCTTTACATGTCAGAGTACATTACAGAGATTAATATTAAGCTTCATGATTTCCATCTCTGCGTTTTTCTGAGCTGTGTTCGAACTGTGCATTCCTGTTTAATAAAGTAATAAAATGAAAGTTCTCCTTTTGTCTGCCGGTGTGGAGGGAACCTTAGAGCTGGACTGAGTTGTCCTAATCCCCGGCATTTAATTTTCTAATGTCTCTAGTGAATCCTTTATTAGATGATTTCAGAACTCTTTGTTGCTGTTTGATGTTAAATTCATGATAATTGAGTTCCAGACGGCAGTGCAACGTTTCGTTTCCCACGCTTTTTGTAGCCACGAACGCTTCGAGTCGTTTGCTTTGTCTTCCGTTTATTGACTCTTCTTCTGCTCCGGGCCCGAGTCTATCAGCGTGCACGCTCTGACAGTGCTACAATATATTTGGCACCGTGTGTGAGATCATCTGTTTTCCAGGCAAAAGATGGTTTTTGGTCATAAAGTGGTGGAGACTCTCATACCCCACAGTCCTCAGGGAGCCTAACCATGTGCTGTAAGAGGCAGAAAAGGTGCAGTAGTCTCATCTTCAGGTTTTCATATGGAGTGTTGTAGCTGCTAAAGTGCAGCTGCCACTAGTTTGGCATCGAGTTAAAACCGAATGACTCTAAAGTGAGGCAGCTGGTTTCATTGGTGTTTTCAACATGACACGCATGTGCAGCCAATATCTGCACCGCCAAAGCGACTGATACAAACTGCTTCCCACAGCTCAGAGGCGGTGTGGGCCGACACTTCGAACATGCAGTTTGATTTATTGTGTGCAGTCATTTCTGCCTTTACATACAGTTTTTAATGAGAGATGATATATAAAACCTTTGCATTCATTAATTACTATTATCAGCTATAATGATGAGCTGTTATTCCATGAAACAATAATTTAAAAAAAATCAGCTATAGTGAAAGAGTTAAACAGGTGGAGATTGTTGTCAGAAGGGGCAGGAATGAATGAATGAAAGCCAAAATAGATGAATAAAAACATGAATGAATTGAATAGTAAACTAGAAGTCTAATAAACAAATGAATATTATTATTATTATTGTTATTATTGTTATATTAAAAAATAGACAATTCAGAAAAGTTAAGTTTTATTTATCAGTCAACACAGTGGGGAAAAGAAAAACGACTGATTAAAGCAAAACGAAACCAGATAAAAAAAGAATAAAATGAGAATCCATGAATGAATTCATCAATGAATGGCTGAGTGGGTTAAAACAAACAAACAAAAAAACAACCACTGGATGGATGGAAACAGAATAAATAACAGATGAATGAATAAAGCCAGGAACCAGTTGCTGAATGAACTGACAACACAAGGAGTATCTGAATGAAATGCTGAATGAAAACACAGGAAACAAATAAAACTCCTGCTTGCCTCTTTAACACATTTCCGGTGTTTTCTACTGTAGGACTACGATAAAGTGGCTGGAAGTAAAAATGCTCTGTAGTCATCAGTTCAGTTCTCCATTGTTTTGGTGTCTAAGAAGCCTTTAATTCATGTTTTCATAACCCAACTCACCCTTTCTGCGTCAGACTTCGTTGTCTCACCCATACACGTGACCATGACCATGAGTTTAGTTTGTGGGGGATTACTTAAGCTGCATGTTTATGAATTAATTTTTGATTAATCACGTGAAATCTGTTACGTCCTCTGACAAACAGCGGCTGCCGCAAAGATTTTATCGAATGTATTCTCTCTGTGTCCATCCAGCTGAAGACACCTTCCTCTCTGCCATCATCAACTACACCAACAGCTCCACGGTTCACTTCAAACTCTCGCCCACGTACGTCCTGTACATGGCCTGCCGCTACGTCTTGTCGCCCACGTACCGGCCCGACATGTCGCCGTCAGAGAGGACGCACAAGGTCATCGCCATCGTCAACAAGATGGTGAGCATGATGGAAGGAGTCATCCAGGTCAGTAATGCATCTTTTAAAAGTCTTTTCACTGTAATTTTTAAAAGCAGTCGAATCAAATCATCGATTAATTTGCACGTTATCTCGTTCTCATGCTCCTCCTGCTTTTGTCGAATATTAGGTGACGCTCAGCGGTGTTCTTACAAAACTACATTTGTAGTTGTTGTAAGCTGTGTGTGTGTGTGTTTGTGTGTGTGTAGCAGCTTTTCTCCACAGTTGTGCTTTCGATTCTGTTTGTCCATCACTCAGTGTTACGCTCGAGATGTGAAGCCTGTTGTGACTCAACATGGAGCTACTGTTACTTAAAATGTCAAGTTTGATGCCGGTCTTATAGCCGTTTTTTGTAGGGGAGGGAGGCGGTGTCAAAACAGTAATTTTTAAAGACTTTTTCGAGATCTCCTCCTCTAAATAAAACTACATAGAGGTATCTGTGTTCAATATTGCGTTAAGACAAACATCTGCAAGAAGTTTTAATAAACATGCTAAAAATGCCTGGTTTTAATTGAAACAGTCTGTATGGAAATATGAAAAAGGATTAAGACTTTCACCATCTGTTGAAACTTTTTGTTAACTCTGGGCCACGTTAAAAACAGCCAGAAATTCTTTCTCGTTTTCCCAGCAACTTCAGTACCTCAATTTTTTCTGTACAAGAGTTCAACACATGAGATTTTCATATTTAAGCGGTTTTTAAACCAATTTTGATACTCCAAGTTTCACAAGCAATGTGGGATAGATAGCTGGGCACAAGTTATAGATTATGAAATCTTTTTACCTATAGTTTGATGGCAAGCTCATCTTCTAGTTGCGATCCCTTCACAGAAAAGAAATCCGTGTTCAAATGTTCTGTAAATTGATTTAGACATATCACATCGATCAGTTTCATGTCCTAAACAGGTGTGGGGAACTTCAGGCCTCAAGGGCCGGTGTCCTGCAGGTTTTAGATGTGTCCTTGATCCAACACAGCTGATCTAAATGGCTAAATTACCTCCTCAACATGTCTTGAAGTTCTCCAGAGGCCTGATTCAGGTGTGCTGACCCAGGGTGAGATCTAAATGCTGCAGGACACCGGCCCTCGAGGCCTGGAGTTCCCCACCCCCTGTCCTAAAAGGAAGAATAAGAGTGAAAAAACTTTTTCGATCCAGCTCTGTATACTCTATAAAATATTTATAGCATGAAGTTAAGATTTTGCATTGCTTAACTAAAGTTACTGTACAAAATAAAAGATAAAGGTGATCCTTGCTGGGTTAGGTGGGAGCACGATGCCACATATGGAGCAGAGGATCTTAGGAGGGGAAAAGTAAACACATAAACACCTACATGTTTCTTTTAAAGCCTCCAGCTTCCAGTAAAGCCATTACTGCTTTTATTTGTTTAGCCTGCAGCAAGCTATTCATTGTCTTTGGCATGCAGAAAAGTTCTAAAACACAAGCACAGACTCACAAACGCACACACAAGACTGTAAGACTATTTCAGTCTGTGTAGTAGGAGTTCAGCTTTATAGAGTTTCAGGAAAACTATCTTTAGCTACAGACTGAGAGATGTGGGAAGCTTGCTTATAAACTGCGTGTGCGTGTGCGTGTGTGTGCACGCGCGTGTTTTCAGTTATCATCTGAACATTAATCATTGCATACGAGACACTAATCCAGCAAATCAGGATATTTTTGGAGCATCTCTTTGGGATGTTCCTCGCCAATAACAGTGCTCGCACTCTCTAATATTTAGTCCTTGTTAGTGCGGTTACAATAGTGTGCTTCAAACATTTTATGCAGCTTTTAGTTGTAAAATCTAAAACATTGTATACCTCGTTCACTTTTGCAGTGTTTTCTTTAACATTTTTTCTTTTCCAGCTGACCTCCATCACTTCACTTTTTTGAGGATGGCTTTACATTGTAAACCATAATCATCGTGTGTGTCAAAGTGTATCTGTGTGTCACATAGCTGTCCATACTGTAGCCGTTGACGTGTTTTCTCTCTGTCCTGTGAACGTGTCCTCTTCCTCCTCCTCCTCTTCCTCTTCCTTCCATCCAGGAGATTGCTGAAGGGGATCAGGTAGGATAGCACATCATGATACGGCTGCTAAAGACTCGTCTACCTCTCTCTCCCTGGCTCTGACGCTCTCTCTTTGTCTCATTTTCTTGGGGTGGGTGATGTGGGTAATATTAATTGCGCAGTGCACCTTATATTCTGTACTCGCTACTGTTAATGTGAGCTGCACAGATTAGCAATGCCAAGAGCTTTGCAACTCAATACTTTTACTGTATTATCCACAGTTTTCAGAGCTGTTTTTAAGGAACATATTGCAGAGGAAATAAAATAGTCGATCACGTTTGCCATGGTGACAAAATACTACTGGATTATAGTATTGTTCTCAGTGTAGGTTGATTTATTACTCCCAATAGCAACAGAAAAAATGGTTGTTGTTGTTGTTGTTGTTGTTACTGTTATTATTATTATTGTTATTACTATTATTATTATTATAATGTTAGTATTACATTGTAACTATTAAGTAAAGAAAGATAAATAAATACTTCTGTGTTGAATCGACATAAAGCCTGTTTAAGTGACCGACTCGTGGTCGCCGTTTATATGTGTGCATGGTGTGTCTCCGTTCTTGTGCAGTCACTCCCAAAACACTAGTTATGGGTGTTTTGATGTTTTTCAAACCTATTCACTGGATTTGAAAATGGAAAAATGCATTATTGTAGTCATTTTTATTTAGTTTAGACTTTTTGCTGTTAATTTTCAGGCAGTTTCTGTAGTGAGGTTTTCTTGTTTCAGTTTCATTTTATTTAAAAATATTTTGTTTTAGTTTAATTTTATTAATTTAAGAGTTAGTTTTTGGCTTTTTAGTTATTATTATATGAGATTTATATCAGCGGTAAAGTACAGGTATTTCAGGTATTTAAAAAAAAAAAGAAGAAAAAAAAGAAGCCAAACTTTTGGAAAGCGGTTGACTCAGTCTTATAGACAAACAATACAAAAACTAAGCAAATTTCTTGCTATCATTTTTTCCTAGTTTGTTTTTCCCCAGGTCTGTTTATAATTTTTATTTTAGTTAATTACATTTTGGTCACACCTATTTTTAGTTAACTTTAATAACCATGGAGGAGAGTCACAGTCGTTGCGAGCTGCATCAACGTGATGCGTAGTTGTATTTCTAGTGAGGTGCACATCAGGTTGCGGTTTATGGTTACCTACACCATATCTCTAACATTGTTAGTTTTGCATCAGAGTTTGTCTCGTTGTGCACCTCTGGACTGCTTTAGGACAGCTTCTGTTTTTCAGATTGTTGTTCATGTCACAAAGTTGGAGACAGTGAGCTGCAGTCAACATACATTTTCCTGTTATGCATCACTGTAGGTGGTTCAGTAATCTCATTCTATGTACTAAGGAAACAAATAAGTTGTTATTGCATTGCAAAGCTTCCTCTACGTGCATGATGGGTCTTTTTTTTTTTTTTTTTTTGCGCTGTGCTACTGCCAGCTGATTTCAGTCTGCGTGCAGGGAGTGGAAATGTGAACATTAACGTTATTGCATGAAGGGGCATGGACACGATGGTTAAATGCTCAGCTCTGTGATGATCCTTAGCTTGAAAGTTGTTTGTTTGGTGTTCGTGGTCGAAGCGAGACTTCCACAGAGTGATGATCAGGATAACAGTGCGCATGGATTTGAAGATCTTTTTGATCGAAGCTCGTATGTTAAATTATTTCTTTACCTGAAACCTCGACTCCAGACCAACTGGGTTAAAAAAAAAAAAAAAAGCCAACACATTTTAATTAAGGCGAATCAGATAACATTTAAGCACTGGTGACGTAAAATCACATCACCAACCTCATCAACCCCTCGGCTTTCCTCTATTAATCTCTGCCCCCACTTCTCTCTCCCTGTCCTACTTTCTTCTTCTCTCTCTATGCTTTTTTTCTTTTTGACCAGCCCTTCATTGTTGCTGCTGCTTCTTTTTCTCCATTCTAACAGAGATGATGTAAAATACCGCCGTAATAATGCATCCTACCCCACAGCTGGAAAACTAAGCAACAACAGCAACATCAACTTGACTAATTCCATTCAGCTTCCTGGACCTGCCTGGTACTAAAAAACAAACACACCAAAGAAAAAAACAAAACAAAAACAGAACAAAAACCAAAGCATCCACTTCTCTCCATCATTGCTCAGTCTTTAACTCTGGCATCCATTTTTTTGTTTTGTTTTTTTGTTGTGACCTCACATCTTGCTTCTTCTACTCGACGGTGTGGATGAGAGACAAGTCGCGTCCCTCTGACCTGCTCCACCTCGTCTGCTTCATTTGTCTGTTTGGATGTTCATTTAACGTGTTCAGCCATCCATCTGTGTTTCATTGTGGATGCACTTGGCTCCATCTCTCATTGTCTGGCTGTTCTGAATGAAGGGTTATTATTGTTATTGTTATTATTATTATTATTATTGATATTATTATTATTTTCTTTTCTTTGTTCTGTTTTCATTTGTTTTTCAAAGGTGGGGATAGATGAATGCAAGGGACCAAGCTTTGCACAATCCTCTCTCTCTCTGAGCGGTGGGGATTTTAACCAATCAGCTCCTCAGACATCGAGCTTCGTCGTGATTTAAACTGTGAACTAAGACGGCTGGTGTCTGTTGATCTGATGAATGGGAGAGAAAAGGAGAGGTCACTCTTGTGTAAAACAAAACTATCACAGAGCTCACGACACTTTGTTTGTGTTCACCGATCTGAAAGTGATGACCACTCTTCTTCTCGACACCCGGTTGGCTTAGAGGGAGGGGTGGGCGAGGCATGAGTCTATCCCTTAAAGTAACAGCTGCTCCTTCTTGCTGTCACTCAAACAGAAACCCCTCTGTCCTCCTCCCTTCTTTTTTTTAATTTTTAACTTTTTTTTGTTTTTTACCCTTGAGTCTTCCCTGGACACTTCTACTCTAACAACTTCTACCATGTTTTTCTTTATTGTGTGTGGTTGTGATTGGTGCATTACAGAAGCAGAAGAACATCGCGGGAGCACTGGCTTTCTGGATGGCCAATGCCTCCGAGCTGCTCAATTTCATCAAACAGGACCGAGACCTGAGTCGCATTACGCTGGACGCCCAGGACATCCTCGCCCATCTGGTCCAGATGGCCTTCAAGTCAGTTTGTGTTTGTGGACTGTGGGTGTAGATAATAAACTGTGAACAAAGATATAGCCATTGTGATGATGCAGACAGGTTAATGCCTTCCCTTTGCGAAGCATCAGTGTTTTCGTCTTTGTGACTCTTAACAGAAACTGCAGTTTACAAAATGTTGATTATTAATTCAATAAGAGATTAAATAAATACCCGTAAACTCACCACAAAAGTGTTTCCTAGGGTCACAGCGGGAGGAAGCTGTTATCTTTTCTAGCTGCAGGAGTCGCCCACTGCTGGCCATTAGAAGGAATGCAGGTTAATGGGGTTGATCCAAGTGAGCAGTGCATTACTTTGTCCTAAAAACAAATGAGTGCATCCAGTTAATAATGTTGCCCCAGTCAAAATGAATGAGAGGTGATGATGATGTTGATGGACTTAAATTTATACATGTGAAATAAGCAGAGCTAGCATCTACCTCAAATTTTAGTTCAGTTTTATTAATATAGCACCAAAAGAAAACAGTCACCTCAAGGGGCTTTATATTATAAAGACAAGACCCACGATCATAGAGAGAAACCCCAACGATCATACAACCCCCTGTGAGCATGCGCTGTCTTTTATATGCAGTCCAAAGTGTCCATCCAATAATGTAATGAAATCCTTATTAAAGTAACTTGTTAGTATAAAATGGGTGATAAGAAACATAGGCTTGCAATTCTTTCTGTATAAATGACATTCGCTGGCAGTTAGCAGTAATTTAAACTTCTCACTTGGTTTAGAAGCATTATGGAAAATATATGAACACACTGATAACCCACATTAAAGTTTCTGAAAGCCTCTGAAAGTGTAAAATACGTTCAGATGGTGACCTTTGATGTGAACAGTGTTGAATGATGTTGCAACAAGCTGTATCGTGTTGCTACAGGTACCTGGTCCACTGTCTCCAGGCCGATCTGAACAACTACATGCCTGCCTTCCTCGATGACCCCGAGGAGCATAATCCACAGAGACCAAAGATCGGTAATGTGCAAACACACAACCACAGGAAGCAACCAAGACTGCTCATGACTAACAGCAACAATTCTGAATTAATTTAGGTGATTAGCCCTTTAAAATGAAGACATGTTAATCGTATGTCATTATAGGTTTTGCCGGAGTTTTCACCGTTTTATGTTAAGATGATTCCCCACTCACAGGTTGCACACATCTAGAAATTGTTAGCATTAATTTTCTCAGGTTCCTTTGGACCTTGTGAGACTGGAAAGAATATATTAGAAAATCTGAACAAAGTATTTTTTTATTTCCTAATGGTCTCTCAGGTGTCTTGTTTTTTTTTTTTTGTTTGTTTGTTTTTTTTTTTAAACATGCTTTGGACCTGTCTCTCTGATTTGGGATCTACTTTTCTGCAGAGTCAGTAGCTGCAGTGCCACCTTAAACTCGAAGAATTTTATTTTTTATCAAAACTCTCTGAAGTCAAGAATTTACACAAACATGGAGCCCAAGATTTTTCAGCAGACTCCAGAAACTCGGAGGAAAGCCCAAATTGAACTCTGTAGCTATCGTTGTTCACTGTATTTGTTTGCGTACAGGCCTGGTTTTAATAACCTGATCATACAGCTCCTGGAAACTGTCCATATACTTAACTCACATTTCATGTAGAGGATCATTGCGGGTTGAAAAGCCCACAGTTTTCAAGTCAGACAGTGTTGCATCAGGTGAGGAGTGAAACCAGGAGGCGCTTGTCTTTTTTCTGAGGATGTTGTACATATGTACTGAAAGTTTTCTTCCCAAAAAAACACAACCTTCAATCACAAACTCCTCCACTTGGCTTCCTGTCAGTTTATTAAGATAATTATAATCCAGCTGGAAGATTGTATTTATTTATTTATTTTTAACACTGGAAGAAGTGCGCCTATCACAGAAGCAAAAGTACAAGGGCATGTAACCGGATTTCTACTGAGTGATCTCAAAAAACAAGCCTCACACGGCTCAGAATGACCTTGAACAGGGATATAAGACTTAGAGGGGAAGATTTTTTTCTCACGTCCCGGTTTCTCTTTTCAGAGGACGTCCTGCACACACTGACGGGGGCGATGTCGTTACTGCGGCGGTGTCGGGTCAACGCCGCTCTCACCATCCAGCTCTTCTCGCAGCTCTTCCACTTCATCAACATGTGGCTGTTCAACAAGCTGGTGACAGATACCGGCTCGGGGCTGTGCTGTCACTACTGGGGCGCCATCCTCCGGCAGCAGCTGAGCCACATCGAGGCCTGGGCTGAGAAGCAGGGTCTGGAGCTCGCTGCTGACTGCCACCTCAGCCGAATCGTACAGGTAAGATGGTAAACAGTAAGAGTCTGTGCAGGGGTGTGAGCAGATGGTCGCTAAAAAAGGTTTTAGAGGCATTTTCCTCAGTTGTGTCAGTCACACTAATTGGTTTATTGCATCTTTTTAAAATATCTCCATTTAAATTTTTTCTTGTTACTATAAAGGGTTTTGAAAAGATAAAAAAAGAATATGTTCGACTGATTTACTTGTTGGTTGTGTCCCATTTTCTGTTTTTAGGGAATTACGCAGACCTGTAAAAGTACTATTACAGAGTAGCTCCTGTGGAAGAGTAAGAGGGTCTTGAAGTGACAACTCCCAGAATGTTGATTCTGTTTATCTCAACTTTGCTTTTTCAGTCACAGAAATGTTTTGTTACTCATTCAAGTGACGACTACTGTCTCAGGTGACCGCAGGTTTCCCAAGTCTAATAAATGGTACATTTGCATAATGATTGAAACCAGCACAACTGACTAACAATGGGCCATTTTTTGCTATGACACCAGGGATTCCAAAAAAAGTGGGTTGTGATGTTACTGCAGCAAGAAGTCAGAAGGAAGCCATTTGTAATTTAAAAAAAAGAAGAAGAAGAAACTGAACTGAAAAACATCTCAATGTGATTTTAAAAATAACAGGTTTTCCTTCAGTTTCTGGCCTATTCTTGACCCTGAACTGTGGTCTATTTAATCAGAGAGCACAAATGTGGCCATCAGCTAAAGCTGTTAATGTGATCAAAATTAAGATTAAAATGAGTCAGTGAATCCACATGGAAGGAATCATTTCCTTTTGTGCGGTGTGCAGTTGGGATTGAAGGTTTGGGTGGGCTGCAGAAGGTTTTCAGGATCTCTAAATTGGCTGCGGCAGTCTGAAGTTTGGGAGTAGATGTTTACTACACTGCAGCAATTCAGAGAGAAAATGAAGAGGCTGAAACAAGAAATTAAGAGACCACAACAAGACATGGAGTTGGACTACCAACCGCTGACTGGCTATTACATCACTATAATCCCTTTTAGCAGCATGAATGCAACCAGGAAAAAATGCTTTGAAGCTTTGCAGTTTCTGGAGGATCTCTTCTTGCCCAGAAGGAATATAATCCTCTGTTATAGTAAACCTGAAATGAAAAATCGTAAAGAGGCAAACACTCCAAACCCCTGCTCAGGTGCTTCTCTGGGACTCTGCTTTATCAGCTTCGACTGACTCTGGCAAAACAAGCAAACAACTCAACAGCTGTCATCAGATTCTTATTATTGTCTCACAACACTCGCCTCGCCTACAGTCAGCCAGTCAACACAACCGCGGAAGTCTCTCATTTCGTGTGCTTGCAGATAACGTTGCGTCCACGTGTGGCCACTCTGTTTACATTCAAAACAATAAGATGTGTTTGATTTACAACATGTGTGTTTGTGTTCCCTTCCAGGCCACCACCCTGCTGACCATGGATAAATACTCCATGCAGGATGTGCAGACCATCAATAACACTTGCTTCAAGCTCAACTCCCTGCAGCTTCACGCCCTCATGACCAACTACCACTGTGCCCCCGATGAGCCGTACATCCCACCTGTAAGATAAACGGCGTCTTTAAACATGTGCAGCGTTTTTATTGGATTAAATTAGATGAAACTGGAGTTATTCAAGTCAAACTTATTTTTAGAAACTTCTGCTGGTTTCTGTGTGTTTAGGAGCTGATAGACCACGTGGTGGCAGTGGCGGAAAACACAGCAGATGAGCTGGCGAGGAGTGACGGCAGAGAGGTTCAGCTCGAGGAGGATCCAGACCTCCAGCTGCCCTTTCTCCTTCCTGAGGACGGCTACTCCTGCGACGTGGTGCGCAGCCTCCCCAATGGCCTGCAGGACTTCCTGGAGCCTCTCCTGCAAAGAGGTAGAAAGTCAAACTATATGTGAATAAGGAATGAAGTCATATAGGAAATATATGAATGAAAGCCTTCAAATAGGTTTATGTTTTATGAGAATGTAAACGACTTTGGTTGAATATGAGCAGATAATTTTTCCCAGGGTTTTTAATTTGTTTTTATTGTCATTGTTTTAAATAAAACCCTGTATACCTAAAGGAAAACAAACATTCATTGAATTATGTTTCATAACTGTGTGTTAGTTCTGCTATTCTGAGTTTTATACCTCCTGTTTTTAAAGCTATGAGACGTACAACGAGTTTAAAGATGTTATGTTGGGATTTAAGCATCTTAAAATAAAGCAGACCAAACAAAAAGCATCAGTAGCTGCTGCTTTAAAATAAGTTTGGTTGCTTTATATGCTGTATTGCTACACTCGACAATTAACGTTTTCTTATTGTCATGGTTTCAGAAAAGCTGCTCTGAAACAAAGGTTATGATCACTCTACTATCAGTGACATTATTTCTGTGTGCGTCTGTTTCCTCTGGTAGGTTTTTGTAGGTTAACGCCACATCCACGTTCGCCCGGCACCTGGACCGTCCACTTCGAAGGAGCTGACTGCGACAGCCACTTCTCCGCTGCTGACAACTCTGAAATGGTACGACGTCGACGTTCAGTCACTCTCTCGCCACACTGTGCGTGCGTTTATTTATAGAGTTGTGTGTCAGTGCAGTGGGGCATCCTGGGTAAATTCGGTGCCACAGAGGAGACTTTGCAGGTTTAGTAATGCTGAGTCACAGAGACTGTGGAGACTGAAGTCTAAAGTAAGTCTGACAGCTAAGACAGCAGAAAACAAGACTAAAACTCAAAGTGGCTGCAGGGTCTTTGATGGCTGCAGAGTGACTTTGGGAAACTGTTCTTTTTTTCAGCACTTACATTTTCATGCTGCGCTCTTGCTTTGAGTGGATGATTTTCACTGAGATCCCATCCACTTTGCGCTGTATGCTGCCCAGACACGCCTCCATATTGTCAATAACGATGAGCTGCTCTTTGATACAAATATCTAATTGGCTGATCACATGGCAGCAACTCGGTGCATTTAAGCATGTCAACATGGCCAGCATGACTTGCTGAAGCTCAGACTGAGTCTCAGAGTGGGGAAGAAAGGTGATTTAAGCAACTTTGTGACCTGGTTGTTGGTGCCAGACAGCCTGGTCAGAGTATTTCGGACTCTGCTGGGATTTTCCCACCTGACCATCTCTGGGGTTTACAGAGAATGATGTAAAAAAGCAGAAATATCCAGTGAGCAACACTTCTCTGGATAAAAACGTCTTTGAATGCACAAGACATTAAACCTTGAAGGAGAAGATCACACTGGGTGCCCCTCCTGTCAGCTAAGAGCAGGAAACCGATTCTATAGTTCAGCACAATTTGACAGTAAGAGACTGAAAATTTGCTTCTGGTCTGATAAGTCTCAATTTCTACTCTGACATTCAGATGATGGGGTCAGAATTTGGCCTAAGCAACATAAAAGCATGGATCCATCCTGCTTTGAATAAGCATTTCAGACTGGTGGTGTCAGAGAGGTTTTCTTAGGACTCTGCACACCAATTAGTATTAATTCAGCATCGTTTAAACACCACCGCTGACCACGGCCACAGTGGTACCATCTTCTGCTGATTCCTTGAACATGACAGTAAGTTGTCTGTACTCATTTGGCCTCCGAAATCACCAGATCTCAATCAAGTAGAGCACCTTTGGGATGTGATGGAACATGTTTTCCAACAAATTTCCAACAAATCTGCAGCAACTGTGTGTTACTCTTGTGTCATTATAGACCCAAATCTCTGAGAATGTTTCCAGTATGCCAGTTCTGAAGGGAAAAGTGGTTCCTGAAAGGCATAAATACTAATGTGGCTAGTGTATACATTTTAATATTTCAGCTGTGTTAATAAACTTCATCTGTATGTTTCTTTTTAAAGACAAAAATGACAATAAGTAGAGGATTTCACAGAGTTTGGACAAGAGATTCAGGGTAGCTGAGACTAGCAGCCAAAAACAGGTGAAATTCCTGTGCAGAAACTGAGCTGTAGACAATTTGACGGCACGACTGTCATAGTTTGACTATTTTTAGACACGTTTAAACCTGGAGACTGCTTTGATTTGAGTCCAGAGGGTGTGTGTGTGTGTGTGTGTGTGTGTGTGTGGGTGTGTGTGTGTGTGTGTGTGTGACCGTGTCTGTGTGTGGTCTCTCAATCTGAATGCAGAGATTAAAGTGACTTCAGAAGGATCTATTTACTTTTCATAAGACACACACCAAGACACAAGCGCACACACAATTTAATCAACACTAATCACGCTGCTGAAGTTGGGGAGCCCAGAGCAGTAAATGAGAGACTACTTTTACTTACACACACACACACACACACACACACACACACACACACACACACACACACACACACACAGAGCCACTTCCTCTGTAATTGGTCTGTTTATCCCTACTCTACTATTTCATGACTGTAGTCTCGACTGGCGTCTCACACAGCACACGCGCACACAGTGATTAATGGTGTGTGTTCAGGCAGACTGGTGGGTCGAGCTCTGCCTTGTCGACAGTTCTTAAGCGATCATTACAAGACCAGCTCTGCTTTGCAACCACTTTAGTGTCAAAGATGTGATATTGTTTGCTTTTTATGTGTATAAATGTATAAACTGGATTATGTGGAAAAGTCTGATACTAAATTACAAGTGGAATAAGGAGATCCTGCAGTGATGTTTGAGCCCATGCTGTTGTACAGTATGAAAAATGACACAATATTGAGTTTTATTCAGTTAACGTTCAGTGACAGTTGCCTCGGGGTGCTTTATACCATTATGTAAAGACTGAAAAGTCATTAACCTGTGTGCTGCACTTGGTAACTGTGGAAAGAAAAACTCCCTTTAAACAGGAAGAGACTTGGATCAGAACCAGGCCTCAGGGAGCGGTGCCAGTTTACCGTGACTGGTTTAAGGTTTAAGTTTTTCCTAAGACCTTAAAGTCGTTAACCTCGTTTGTTTGTCTGATGAATAAACATGGGTATCAGTTAAGTTTAATTAATTTACTTGTGTTTAGTACAGCGGCGTGTCACACACAACCTAATTGTGGGCCTGATAATAACCTGTACAGGGCTTGAATTCCTCTGGACCCAAATCAAAGCATCTTCCAGGATTAATTCCTGTGGAGATATCTGCACGGAATTACAGTAATCTAATAATGTTTGGGCCACTGTTGCATTAGTGTGGAACAGCTGCAGCCTCTCTCTGCAGCGCTACAGGAAGTTTTGCTAGCATACACAGACTGGCTACAAAGGTGTGAACTTGAAGCCGTGCAGGCAATGACCGCCGGCTAAAAAAATTTAAATCCACTTCAACTGATGAGGAGAACGCTGAACACCAAACACGGCGGCATTCCCAGTGAAGTTAACGTTAACAGCGTTAGTCCTTAGGATCCAGATGTGTAACAATAACATTATTAGGGTGGAGCAGCAGTTCAGAGAGATTCAGACTAACCAGCTAATTTATAATGAACAGAGCATGCCTTTTTTAATACGCATGCATAGATGTGACAAAGAACAGGGACAGGAGACATAAATTACAGCAGTATTGTATTTACTGGAGAATGACAGACGGTGAGGTAAGAATAGGACAACAGAAAACTTCACAAGTAAAGTTTTTGGAAGTAAACAGGAGCAGTATTTCATGATTATGATCAAACAATGTCTTTTTCCCATAAAATATTTCAAATCTAATTGATTCATTCATTTTCATTTACACACATACATTTTCGTTTATTTGTAACTTGGAAAGAAGAAATTGGTGACTTCACAACTGACTTGGGTTGTATTAGAAAGATTAGAATTGGAAGCTTTTATTGATATTATATAATGTACAATGAAATTGGAGCGCAGCAACAACTTAAGACACAATGAAGAATAAACATTTGGTCATTTATGCAGTAAATACATAAAGTGCTAGTACTCAAAGTACTAGGTATAAAAATTGCTACATATACTAAAGTATATAAAAAGTACTAATGTTTAATAAGGTTAGGTAGTCGGGTAACAAATATTACACAGTGATTTACCAATAATCTAATAATCGAATAACTCGGGTGTAACTCGGGTGTACTTGGTACATTTAGAGAAGAGGTGTTGAGGTTTGGAAAGAAGCCCTTCCTGGGTCTGTGTCCTTGATTTGCCAGAGAGCAACAAGTTAAACAGATGAAGGCCAGGATGTGAGGGTCCTTCAAATATGTCTGCTGAAGGAGGAGGGATGTTTACAGGTCCTGTATGGAGGACCGAGCTCAGCCAGCGATCTCCTGAGCCGTGGCTCTGTTTCTATCTCCTCAGCAGTCTCAGGAAGTGAGGTCGTCTCTGTACCTTTTTTTTTCTTTCTTTTTTTTTTTCTTCTTCTCGCCTGTCTCTGTACCTTTTTAATAACCATTGGCAGCTCAGGTGTTCAGAAAGTACCCAGGAATTTGGAACCTTCTCCACACACGGATCACTGATGTAGGGCCACGTCTCGTCAGTGAAGCCGAAGAGGGTTTTTTATTTTTGTTTGTTTCGGGTGTTCTTGGTCAGGTTGTACCTCAGATCTGAACTGTTTCTCTTTATAAACTTCAAGCAGAAAGTTGAATCTGTTTTCTAATAGAATTCAGCCTGATTGAGTGGGTATGCAGCTGTAATTTTAGTGTACGAGTTGTCCTCTTGACTTGAGGTTGTTGTTTTGTTTGTTTCTGGGTGTTGCTGCAGTTTGAAGCGCCAGTCAGCGACATGCAGGACAACAACACCAAACAAAAATAGACAATACGATGCAAGCATATTTTTTTTATGAGTGTGACATGAGCTTTTGGAGTATCCTCTGTCAGAATATTTTTTCATCATGTGGGAAACCTCGGTAGCTCTCTCTTTCTTTGTTTCTCCATCTTTCCCCACCCAGTCACCCAGCCCTGCTCAAATGAGCCCTGCTCTGTGTGTGTGTGTGTGTGTGTGTGTGTGTGTGTGTGTGTGTGTGTGTGTGTGTGTGTGTGTGTAGCCATGAAGTGGTTTTCATTCTTGACTTGGTTCCAGCGACCACAGGTTCCTCTGCGGTCTTCCCCTTCTCCCCTTTATCCCTCCTTCAAGCCTTCCCTCCCTTTTCTCATCCCTCCCTCTTTTTTTCTTCTTCTTCTTTTTTTTAACTCTGCATTCTCTCACTATTCTCCTACATGTTTCAGACGAAGGGAACAAGCTAAAGGAGAGTTGAGCTTTCCTCAGGCCTTTTTCCACGCATTCGCTCACAGTGAGAGGTTACATCCTCGCTTACAGTTTGTCCTTCCTGTCCATCTCTCTTTTCAGCCAATGAGGAAAGAGCCGGAGGTTGTCACAGTAACCCTGAAGAAGCACAACGGCATGGGCCTCAGCATCGTGGCCGCCAAGGTAGGAAATGTCACCTGGAAGTTTGTTAAAGAGTGAAAGTCAAACTTTGGCAGCTCTGAGATGTTTTCAGTTTGTTGGGGATTATTTATTTTTTAAAATTTTGCAGGAAACTTTTCCTAAAAATGAAATCTAACACTGAAAAGTAAACGACTGGCATGCATTTGACAGGAAACCCCAAAATAACTTGGATGTTTTTATCGTGGCTGTAGAGATGGTGTGTGTGTGAGGCTGAGCGACACACTGCTGACAGAACAGGCTGCTGTTTAAAATAGACTCCTTTCACTGTTGAGTCTGACAGCAGCGCAGAGACTAAACAGCAACACTACAAAGAAACTTCTGGATGAGCCCCGGACAAAAACGTGCTCTGTGCAGTTTGCTGATTTAAGGGAGGGGATGTGGGGCTGTGCGGTGGGGCTAATTTAACTGTAGATCATTGTCTGTCCGTGTGTTTGTGTTACCGCACCTCTGATGTGTGGACCAAAGTACAAAAGTCCGCAGATGTCCGTGTAAGATGCAATTTTGGCTTACATACACATAAAAGTATTAATTTAATAATCCAACAAAAGATACATGAACAGGAGGTTTACACACTTGGGCATATGTGAATATCCAGGTCCTTAATTTGTTGCATCCATACACCAACACAGTGGATTTGAAATGAAACAGTTTGAAGTTCGGACCTTAAGCTTTAATTCAACTGGCCTGACAAAAATTTTGCATCAACTGTTTAGGAATTAAAGCTATTTTCACACCTTGTTCCCCATTTTCACAAGACCAAAAGTGATTGGACGATTGACCATGTCACAGCCATAAAGAAATTCCAATTTCCAAGCTAATTCCAAGCTTACAAAACACTTTAAAATAAAGTAACATTAATCCGTGTTAATTTTGTGCTTTGTGAGTTTGCCCTGCTGTAAATCTCTCACGCAGTCATAAAGTGCGAGCAATTGTTGTAAATCGGTGTGTGTAAATCACCTGACATGCTCAAGTCAGTCAGGTAAACAGAGTGTGGGGCAGGAGTTTTGACGTTGCATCGTATAGTTGTTTTTCATGAGGCAATGATAGGATTAGATAACCAGGACTTCTTATGGAGAGGTTTTGTTTTGTAGCTGTCAAGTCATTTCATTTTTGTCGTTGGATTGCATGCAAACTGCTTTAGGGAAAGCACGAATCAGAAACTTCCGAAGTGTAAAAGAAGGTCCGAAGGTTGCTGCTGCAGACTGATAAGCAGTTTCATGTGCAGGTGAGGCTGGTTCCCTCATTATTTTACAACAAACGGCGCAGGCATAAAATCTGAAGTTGAATCCAAGTGTTGAGTTAGTATTTTACAGCCTTTAATTGTATTTTTTTTTAGATAAGGACCAATGAGATGCCAGTGTGTCACAAGACTTAAACCAAAATAAAGCTTTCAGAGAGTTGGCAAAAACATCAGGAGTGGCCAAACAATCAGCGAACTGGTTTATTGTTTGAAGAAGGATTGCAGCGACCAGCTCAGCAACACCAAAAGACCTGAAAAACTACAGGGTCACTGATGTTTATTGAAAACATAACTACTGATAGAAGCAGCAAGATGAATTGAAGTGTATAGGACTACTTTCCCAAAATGATCAGATTGAGCTTCACAATTCAAAATGATAACGGCCCAAAGCACACTGTTGAACCAACACAAGCCAGTTTTCTTAAGCAAAGGCAGGTACCTGATTTCAACCCAACAGTACATCTGTTTCACTGGCAGAAGATATCAAGAGGCGAAACACAGCTTTTGGTGATGTTCATGGGCTCTAGACTTCAGCCACTGAGACAAAGGGTTTTCATCCAACTGTTTAAAAACTATCCTTATACTTATTTTTTATCACATATTGATTGTTTTGATTTCTAGTTTTGCAAAGAGGAAAAAAACTACAAAGTATATGTTGATGTCTAACAAATTATGGACCTAACTGTACCTGGAACGCCGTCCAAGAACATGCAGAGGTTCATTTTGGTAGAGAAAATGAATGTGGCTTGGATACCTGCTCAGTATGGATGTAATAAACATGTTGCTTTGGCTCCAAGTTTTGAGTTACTCATTTTGGCCACTGTCACCTTGTTGCTAATGCCCAGATACTGATTGTGTAGATTCTTGCTTGTTAGTGCCAATTAACAGAAAATGCTAAACTTTTTTGGACTGTTGATCCACACAGTGGGCCACCAAATTGGACAGACTGTCACAATTCATTATTTGATGGTTGTAAACATGTTAATTTCAGCTCTGAGGCGTAGTATTTTAACATGACACATTTACATTAACACTGGAGGAACTGCAGCCGCAGAGGCTGCTGTTTAGTAAAATGTAATGACTGTGACACTGAGCTACTTCAGATGAACTGAAAATTTAAACAAAAACACTTCGAAACGCAAAACACTTCATTCAAGTCCTGGAAAAACACAGTTGCACAACTTGAAAACAATTAAAATGTTAAGTCTGCTTCCAAAATAGTTTATATAAGCTCACCGCACATCACAGGGAGGCTGTAATGTGAAACGTGGAGTATATTCAACTGACATCATCGTCCAGTCCAGTCTCGTCTCCACTGGTTCCCTCTAATCTTACATGTCACAGCCATCATCAGGCGACTCATCCTGAGTGTTTCATAGCAACAAGAAAAGGCTTCGCTACCCTGTATCTTTCCTAATGTTAGTAAGAAATCAACTCACTGGCTCGCTTTCTTGAATTTAAAAAGTTTTCTGACTTTTTTTGAGCTGCAAGCCAAACATGAACCGATGCACAGCATGTACCTCAGAGCCCCCAACAGTGTCCGACATGGTTTTGATTATAATTTGAAATGGCAAAGAGAAGTGAGACACAGTTGGGTGTCCAGTTTGACTAACAAGTTTCCTTCAGGGGCAACCCTTCACTTTCAGGCCAGACAGTTACATAATTCTACATTAAGGCCGTTCCATCACCAAGATTTCCTCCTAACTGGGTTCCTCGTTGTACTGTAGCTTATCTTGTACAGAACAGCAGTATCAAACCAGTATACATCCATGCAAGAGGATATGAGTAGATAAGACTACTACGGTTTGCTCTCTGTACAAAACATAATGATTTTCTTTCTTTCTTTTGATTGGAGCAAGTTTCCTGCTTAAGGCGAGAGCTTTCCTGTGTGTGTGCAGTCTGACTCTGTGTGTGTGGATGGGAAGAGTGGGAAGGAAGGATGTGCTGAGGAAACCTCCTTGCTCTGTTTATTTTCAGAGCTGTGTGGATGTTTGAGAGAGTGGCAGAGATGTGTGTATGTGGGATGGGAAAGGCAGGTAGAGTGAATTTTGTCAAACAGATGCCTAAATTCTCTGTAAACTGGGCTGAGCTTTGTCCTATTATATAACTCAGAGTGTGTGTCTGTGTGCGCGTGTGTGGTATTTGCCTGGTGGAGCTGAAGCAGCGCTCCACCTCAGTCCGACCAGCTGGCGTCCCAGCCGACACTTCACCTCTGGACCGCTGTGTGAATTTGCTGTTTCTTAACAAACACTCTGCAATTAGGACGCCGTGGAGGAATTTGGGAGCTCTTGGGAACATTTGAGGAATTTACTGCAACACACACTAGACTGTTGGGCAACTTTTAAAATTTTTTTATTATAACACTTTTTCTATATTAAGATTTATTCTTTTTCCCGGTCAAACCTTTGAGAATGAAGAGCGGAAAGATTCCTGCACGTCTTTGCTTTACATACAGGAACTTTTTTATCCCGCATTTCTGTCCGTAAACAGTGATTTTTAAAAGTTCAGCTCAATGGATTACGCTCAGTCTGTGTAATTGCTGGGAGGTTTTAGACTTGTCGGTTCATGTTAGCAGGTTGATTCGCTCTCTGGGATTTAAAAAAAAGAAGGAAAGAAAAGGAAAAAACAGGTGTGTGCAGTTGGTGCGGGTGTGTGTGTCCTCCGCTGTGGATGTCCCCAGTGTGAACTGGTCTGGATAACAAGCAGCTGCAACATGTGGTTTTCTGTGGTGGGCAGGAAAGACCAGGTAACTGCTCTTTTTATGTCATTTGTGTCTTTTAAAGGCAAAGAGACTGTTTCTATCTGCTCTCTTTGATGTTATTATAAATTTAAAAAAAAAAAGATTTGAAAGGTGGTCTGTAAGTTTGCATCCATGTAAACCCGATTAAGACTGTTGCGTTTCATGTACGATAGACTCGCTCTGCTAAAATGTTGACCTTACTGGGGTTTTTCCTGGCTCAAATCTCACTGTTTGATATACAAAAAAAATAATAGGTGTACTTCAGTAAATTAAATACCATCATAATGTACGTGAGGGAGGAAGTTTCCTTTTTCCTTTTGTGCTGGTAACAATCTTTTAGATGGACACGAGTAGTCCATGAGTATTTAGTGTTTATTTAGAAGCACATGCTTGTGAAGCAGCTGGTTGAATATTCCTGGATTTATCGAGTGCAATGGCCTGCTGGTCCATCACTCTTGGCAGTTTGCTGTCAGTGCCGTTCTGTCACTGGTTAAACAAAAACCCCTGGTGTTTTTAATAGAAGGGAAAAAGAAAAGGGTAAAGTGCTCTTCAGCCAGATTTAAATTTGTGGCCTGATTTAAAATGTAGATTCTAAAAGAAGACTCCTTAATCAGATTTTGCAGAAATCTCCATAAATTTTAAAATATTTTATTAGACTTGAATTTCTTTTTTGTGTGGTGGGGAGGGGGTCTGACAGTTCAGCGCAGTTTAAATGTTAGATAAGAATTCTGGTGTAAAATGGGAATATTAGCTCATAAAATCTGTATGTTGAATCAGTGATTGCTCTGTTTGAACTCTCAACCTTTACATGTTGGTCATTTTGTTGGAGCCCTTTGTCTCTGTGGAACAAACGTGTGGAGAGCAGATTAGCATCCTTAAAAATACTACATCAGTCAAACCCACACACGTGTGTTTTATTGTATTGTGTTTGTCTTCCCTCCGGGCAGCTCCCAGCTGCAGTTGAGGAAACACTCGCTCCCCTCCTCCTCTTCGCCCTCCTCT